TCACCCGTCATACGGGATGCTTCGTATTAAAAGGCAATTTTTCAAAAATTTTATTTGATTGTTGAATAGATAATTGTTTATATGTCAAACTGGGCCTTTTTAATACGAGACATTCCCTTATAAGGTCATTATTTTATTAGCTAAATGGGTAATTATTTTTGAACCCGGACCAATTTTATATGCATCGGTATGACATAAATAATAACATTTTGTTCTAGATTCAAAAATAATACCCAAATCATATTAGCATATTAAGTTATTCAGAAAATCAAAACATATATTTCTAAAAGCTTTGATATGAATTAACTTTTTATTAATATATTTAATATATTATTATTATTTTTATGGCTTACAAAATATTAAGAACTAAATTTTAAAATTAGGTTCTGAACCAAACCATTTTTAACTTGGGTTTGGAACTTATTATACAAAAATCTGTTCTTAGGTTTTGGAACCTAAAAGTTTTAGAATATAAACTAAACTAAATTAACTTTACCATCTCTACCTTAGTCCCCCCAGCCCAAATGCACACTGTACGATCCTTGTCAGCACTAAACACTTGGCCTCCCTGGGGACTCCAAGATACACCGCATACCGAAGAACTAATGAAAAAGAAAAAAATATATATATTTTGAGTAAGATTAAGAAATATATGTAAATAAAATATCAACACATACTTATGCTCCTTCACTGTTTTCTCGAGTTTAGATTTTTGGATGTTCCAATAAAATATGGTACCATCTAATCATCAATGAATTTATATTAGAAATTGATTCAAAATCACGATAAAAAAGATAATACTGCATTATATAAAACATCTGACAGGTACGGGGGAACATTGACGAAAAAAGTATCACATTATTACCACAGGTTATTATTAAATCATGTGACAAATTCGTGACTTTAATAAAAACCTGCAGCAGTAATATTGAGATCTTTCCATCAATGTATACGTCATACCTGCCAGATAACAAGGATTATTTTTACCCAATGAACCCGCTGCCACGTATCTTCCGTCAGGACTGAAAAGTATGTTAAGATATTAATACGCGCTGAAAATAAGATAATGATTAAACGGTACTTTATACTTTACCTAAAACAAGACTTAGACCAATTGGCCCCAGTTTTATAGCCCTCAGCACTAAGATATCAGAATCATTAGTGTACATTACTTGTTACTAAAAAGACAAACTCTCGGTAAAAATTTAAAAACATACTGTAATGTTTGTTCGACATCGTATGTCCTTAGATCAACTATTTTCAACGTGTTATCGCGAGAATTAGTTAACACTTTGGATCCATCTATAAAAGAATAGTCAGCAATGATCGGTTAAACCGATTTCGAAAAATAGTTTCAAATTAATGCTGAAAAATTTGCTTACCGGGAGATACAGAAACAGAGGTAATTTGTCCCAAATGGATGCCAGTCAATTCCTTAATATCTTTCCCTGATCGCACATCCCAGAAACGTAAATTATTATCCAGGTGACCGCTTACAAGAGTCGTGCTGAAATTAATTAGTGGCATGAGCTTTCACGTTAAATGCTGGTTTTGACTGTAAATTTATACATACCCTTCCTCATCTAAAGGAACTACATCATTACAGCTAGAAAATGAGAAAATCGTTCTGATACCTAGATAGTAATGTACAAAATATCACCAAATAAATTTTACTAAACATAAAATTTAAATATATATATATGACAACAAATATCATGATTAACATACAATATCCTTTCTGTAAATCCCATACTTTGATGGTTCGGTCATGACTTCCAGTAATCTATTAAAGTAATAAACAAATAAATTAAAGTCAGATATATCGGACAGTCAAAATCAAATGATTTT